CTGGATTTGAGCTCGTTCAGACTTACTCGGACGGGGAAAATCTCAAAACTACAACCTTTAGTTTTTCAGGTTCCCGAGTTAAGAACTTATCCGAGAAAAATTTTGGTGAACCCGTGCGTAGGAACCACGCATGACCGAGGGCTGGGTTTTAGCTTATTGAGAATAAGGCGGATGGGGAACATCCTCTTAATTCTACAGCTCTTTAGCATCTCAGATCCCCGAGTCATAAACTTACCCGGGAAAAATTTTGGCGGGCCCGTACGCGGGTACCACGCTTATCCGGGGGCTGGGTTTGAGCTCATTAGTACCTACGAGGACATTGAACATTCCCTTAAAATTTCAGCTTTCTAGCATATCAGATCCCCGAGTTATGAACTTGCCCGTAAAAAAATATTGGGGTGCTCGTACGCGGGTACCACAGTTGCCGGGGACTGGTTTCGAGCTCATTAGTACCTACTTACACGGGGAACATCACTCTAAGATTTCAGCGTTCTAGCTTCTCAGATCCCCGAGTTATGAACTTACTTCGAAAAAACTTTGGTGGTCAAGTACACCGGTATCACGCTTACCCGAGGTATGGGTTTTAGTGCATTAACACCTACTTGGACGGGAAATATACTCCTAAGATTTCAGCGGTTCTAGCTTCTCAGATCCCCGAGTTATGAACTTATTCCAAAAAAATTTTGGCGGCCCAGCATGCGGGTGCCACGCTTACCCGGGAGATGCGTTTCACTGCATTAACACCCAATTGGACGGGGAACATCTCCCTAAGATTTCAGCGGTCCAGCTTCTCAGATCCCCGAGTTATGAACTTACTCCGAAAAAACTTTGGTGGTCGAGTACACCGGTACCACGCTTACCCGGGGGGTGGGATTCAGTGCTTTAACACCTGCTTGGACGAGGAACCTCACCCTAAGATCTCGGCGTTCTAGCTTCTCAGATCCCCAAGTTATGAACTTACTCCAAAAATATTTTGGCCGCCCAGTACGCGGGTACCACGCTTACTCGGGGGATGGGATTCAGTGCATTAACACCCGCTTGAACGGGGAACCTCCCCCTAAGATTTCAGCGTTGCAGCTTCTCAGATCTCCGAGTTATGAATTTTTTCCAAAAAAAATTGACGGTCCCGTACGCCAGTACCACGCTTACACAGGGGATGGGTTTCAGCGCATTAACACCTACTTGGACGGGGAACCTCACCCTAAGATTTCAGCGTCCTAGCCTCTCAGATCCCCGAGTTATGAACCTACTCCAAAAAACTTTGACGGCCTCGTACGCGGGCACCACGCTTACTCGGGGGATGGGATTCAAGCTTTAACACCTGCTTGGACGGGGAACATCACCCTAAGATTTGAGCTTTCTAGCTTCTCAGATCCCCAAGTTATGAACTTACCCCAAAAAAATTTTGGCGGGCCCG